TTGTATTAAAAAATATTTTGCAAAAGCAGTTATTAAAATGCTAGTGCATACATTTAAAGTAAACATACAAGGAGTTTGGAGCCCAAGAAAACAAGAGTTTACTTTGGTTAGAAGTCAGGCTGATTGTACATGATAGTTACAATTGGCAGTGTTTCTTCCAAAGATTGAATTTTTGCTGAGTTTTTATAGGTTATTCCCAGCTTGACTTTTCCCCTTTCTCTGTCTTTCATTTCTGCAGTCACCAGAAGAAAATTTTAAAGCATTAAAAAAGTGGCTCTTTCCTTATAAGTCTGCCAACACCCACTCCTCATTATCTCTAGTTTCAGACAAAGGGGAACATGGTTCTGATAAGAATGATCCTTTGGGCCTCACTGGTGGTGCATGGGGTTAAATCTCAGCACTGTGAAACTCTCAGCCGCCACTGCAGCACGAGTTTGATCCCCAGCCACGCAGCTGACCCACATGCTCTTGTCTCACCTGCTGCTCCCCACTTTGTCTCTGGTGAATCCTCTCACCCCCCGTACCTCTGGTCTACACCCCAGCTCTTGTATGCATAAATAAATAAAATAAATCTTAAAAAAAAAGAATTATCTTTGCTGCACATCCATAAACTCAGAAATTCTTCTTTGTAGCTTAGAAACTCCAGGTCAAATGAAAATTATAAGGTTAAAGGTTATTTTGAGATCCTGCTTGGTGTTCAAAAAATACAGGTCTCTAATTCCTTTTTCAAAGTGGACGTCTTGGGCTGTGAGCTCCTCTTTTTGCCATCGGGTAGTGTCTGCTGGTGATGTTAGCTCCAGAACTTTCCACTTGGTCTTGAAAGCTCTGTTGGTATCTTTGGGTATGGCCATGACTGCTGTAGTCATCTGCCCCTGCATCATTTCTGATTGGTCATTGATATTACCTTGGCCCAGAATCAGAGAGTAAATGCCCTGAAAACCCAAATACATAAAGGGAGTGCCAGAAGGCAGAATTCACCAGGATGTAGCTAATGTTAGTAGTTCAATTCCTTGCTGTAATCTAGGCTTACAGCAGGATTGTTGGAGGCCTCCCTGGTGGCGTAAGGGGTTAAGCATCAGCACTATGAAACAATCCACAGCTACTGCAGCACGAGTTCAATCCCTGGCCAAGGAGGTGACCCACATGGCGCAGCAGACCTCTTCTGACTCGCCTGCTGCTCCCCTCAGTATTTCAGACATTCCGCCTGTTCTGCTCCCCACTCTGTCTCTGGTGAATCCTCTCGCCTGCCCACCCCCCCCACTTCTGGCAGACACCCCAGTTCTTGTATGCATAAATAAATAAATCTTTTTTTAAAAAAATACAAGATTGTTGGACATAGGACTTTGGTTGTAAGTGTCTGAGAATGTCATGTTGATTCATCCCCCATGAAGAATCAAAGGGAGGCTGTTATGTCCCATTCATCATGTCCATGAGCATAATGGGATCAGTCATATAAGAGAAAGTGATACTATGTACTCTTGTTTTTTAAATGCTTCCTCTGGGTTTTTGAAGTAATATTTTACATGCCAAGGACTATTATGGAGTATAATTAATTTCCATTTTCCCTGAAGACTGTGCTTCATATTAGGTGTTAACTGTCAGATACTTGTTCCTGGGTGTGCTTCTTGTCACTCTCTAACAGGATGATAAATCCTGGTGGATGGTGCCTGCAAAGAAGGTAATGATAAAGATGGGTAGGACTATCCAGAGACAGAGGTTGGAGTTGAATAGCAGCTTCTGCCCTTAGCCTGGGAATTATTTTCGCTAGGACTGACCAGACTCTACCCCAGTCTCAGACCCAGTGCACTGCCTCCACCTGGAGTGCCAATATTATTTTAATATTGTCTAAAGTTTATAGAGTTCTAAAACAGAAGCTAGGGGTTCCCAGAAATCTCTCTGCTTGATCTAAATTATCTGTTTTAAGACCATATTTTTTTTCTTTTCTATTTATTTCTATATATATATTTTACATCATTATTCATTTTTGTACAGTTTGCTTTCTCCTCTCAGTTGTAGTCCCCATAAAATTCCTACCACCAAGTCACCCATGAACCATCACCATAGTTTCTTGTGCTCTTCCTACCTCTGTTTTAATCTCGCTCCCTCCCACTCCCCTGCTGAATAGCTCGCTTTATAGTTGCCTGCTAGTTTTGTAAGACCACATTTTTGAGTGAGAGTTACTAAACCTAGGCTTTTTGTTAAAAAAAGATTTATTTATGAATACAAAAACTGGGGTACAGGCCAGAAGTCGGGGAGGGGGGATGTGAGAGGATTCACCAGAGACAGAGTGGGGAGCAGAACAGGCAGATCTACTGCAATAAACTGCTGAGGGGAGCAGCAGGGAGACAGGAGAGGTCTGCTGTGCCATGTGGGTAGCTCCCTGGCCAGGGATCCAACTCATGCTGCAGTGGCTGCTGATAGCTTCATAGTGCTGAGACAACCCCTTGTGCCACCAGGGAGGCCCAACCTAGGCTTTTTTGATTGCTCTGATGCCCCCTTGCCTCAGTGGGAAAAAAAAAAGGACTCTAAAAGTATACTGTATGAATTTACTTGTGTAAAAGCATACAATTTTGTCTTTTCCAAATTTGCCACATTGAAAAAGATTTTTAAGTATTCTGCTTTCTCTGTTTATTTGTGGTGAGAGATTGGTGACAGTGAGAGTAATTTGTAGTTATAGAAAGAACTATGCTGAACGTCATAAATTCAGTCATTCCCTGACGTTCCTCCTGCTGCTGAGGGTTGTTACGCTTTCACTCTCTGGTTGGGATATATCTTATGGAAAAAAATGGTCGCCATAGTTTGGCTGCATAGAGCATACAGGCACTTAATTCCAAAACAAATGGTTTAACACAGCACAGAGGTTTCAAATGTAGTGAGAAATGAGTGGTGGCTTCCTTATTCTTGCTTTAAAACCACATGCTTGGGCCTCCCCGGTGGCGCAGCGGTTGAGCGCTGGGTTGGGAAGCTGCCGGCAGTCTCTGCAACGCCGGTTCAATCCCCGGCTGCTCCCCGGCCTCGGGAGGAGGGTCCCGCATGGCGCGCAGACCTCTCCTGCCGCCCGCTGCTCCCCTCAGCAGTGTACTTCAGTCCTTCTGCCTGCTCTGCTCCCCGCTCTGGCTCTGGTGAATTCTCTCTCCCTCCTGCGCTTCTAACTGTACCCAGTGCTTGTATGTATCAATCAATCAATCAATAAATAAATCTTTAAAAAAAAAATTAAAAAAATAAAACCACATGCTTAAGTATTAAGGAGAGAGAGTCACTCACTGGGTAGAGACCTTTTAGGAGACACTAGCACATTATCCTTAGGTTCAGGGAGCTTATAGGCAAATGACTGTCACTGCAGGTTACACATAGAATTTTTGTGCTTCACTTGATTTTGTCTTTCAGAGAAGGATGAGCAAATTTGTGCTCTTTTTTTTGTTACAAAAAGTCACTATTATAAAAAGCATTACTTGCTATTTCAAAAATAATAAATCTAGATATGTTGAATAATGTAAATTCTAAATTTGCTATTTGTGTAAGTAAATATTGAGTGTTTAAGTGAAGGACTGCTAAATATAACTCTTCAAAAATAATTTACTGAGTAGGTAATGTTTTACTTGGTAAAGTAATTTCAAAAGGGCATGCAGTGAAAAATTTTCCTTCTCTCCTAACTCTCAGCTACCAGGTTCTCCAGTGTTTACAGCAAGATTTTATGCACATGCATGCCTTAATCTGCTTTTTAAAATCATGGGTGACAATATATTGTACACATTGTACCATTCCCTTTTTTAATATAAAATATCTCATTGAATATAACAAACTACTCATACTACCTCCATTTTACAAATAAGGAAAGAAAGACATCTCAGTTTCTTTTTTTTTTTTTAAGATTTATTTATTTTTATTTATTTATGCATATAAGAAATGGGGTGTAGTCCAGAGGTGCGGGGAGTGAGAGAATTCACCAGAGACAAAGTGGGGAGTAGAACAGGCAGATCTATTGAAATACATCACTGAGGGGAGCAGCAGTCGTGATAGGAGATTTTTGCTGTGCCATGTGGGTTAGCTGCCTGGCTAGGCATCAGACTCAGTCACAGTGACTGGCGATAGCTTCAAAGCACTAAGACTTTAATCCTTACACTACCAGGGAGGCCCAACATCTCAGTTTCTTAAATACTTTTCCAGGGTCTTATAGCTTGTAAGTTACAGGTAGCCTCTATTTCCTCGGTACAGTGGCAGTTTTGGTACTACTACTTTAGATAACTTTTTATTTTGAAACCATTTCAAACTTACAGGAAAGTTATAAAAATGGAGTAAAGAATTCAATAAACCCTTTATCATTTTTTAAAAGATTTATTTATTTATGCATACAAGAACTGGGGTACAAGCCAGAGGTGGGGGGGGGGAGGTGAGAGGATTCACCAGAGAGAATGGGGAGAAGAACAGACAGATTTACTAAAACACTGCTGAGGGGTGCAGCAAGCGAGACAGGAGAGGTCTGCTGTGCCATGTGGGTCACCTCCCTGGACGGGAATCGAACTCGTGCTGCAGTAGCTGCAGATAGCTTCATAATTCTGACACTTAACCCCTTGTGCCACCAACGAGAGGCCCCTCATTTGGGTTTCTGCAACTGTCTCAATTATGTTGGGGAAAGGAATCAACCCTTTCCAGTTGTTGTATCTCTTTATCCTCCTTCAATCAGGAACAGTTCTTTAGTCTTTGACTTATATAACCTTGATATTTTTGGAGCTCTCAGGCCTGTTTTATAGAATACCTTTCAATTTGCAACTGCCCTAGGTGTCCTCACAGTTAACACCTGTGTGATGTCTTTTTTTGTCCAGAATGTCACAGAAGTTATGTTACATTCTTTACATGGGATCCAGTCAGGTGACATACATGTCAGTTGTGTTCTATTAGTCCCAATAAAGGGGAAAAAAGAGAAAGAAGGAGGGGGAAATAACTTACTAGTTTGCTCTTAAGAGAGCCCTCTGTTCAGTAAATACCTCTTTTCCTTGTAGCATCCTGGTGGAGAAGAGGTTCTGCTGGAACAAGCTGGCGCAGATGCAAGCGAAAGTTTTGAAGATGTGGGCCACTCCTCTGATGCCAGAGAAATGCTCAAGCAGTACTATATTGGTGATGTGCATCCGGTAAGACTAACTGAACTAGGCGTGCTTATGGAGGGGAAACTACAAACAGCCACACAGCACAATGAGGGAATACATTTTTAAAATGGAAATTCATTCTGCCAAGACATCAGGCTATGTTTTCTCCAAAACCATCTAGCCTTATTATGCTAAGATATTGCTTCTTTTTATTTTTTATTTTTTTTAAATACCTTTTATTTTATTATTATTTTTAAAGATTTATTTATTTATTTATACATGCACTGGGTACAGTCAGAAGCGCGGGAGGGTGAGAGGATTCACCAGAGCCAGAGCGGGGAGCAGAGCAGGCAGAAGGACTGAAGTACACTGCTGAGGGGAGCAGCGGGCAGCAGGAGAGGTCTGCGCGCCATGTGGGACCCTCCTCCGGTGGCCGGGGAGCAGCTGGGGATCGAACCGGCTGCAGAGGCTGCGGGCAGCTTCGCAACCCACCGCTCACCCGCTGCGCCACCGGGGAGGCCCGATATTGCTTCTTTTTATAAGGTAGCACATGTACCTCTGAAAGCAAGGGAACTCATTTTGGATTATTGCTTGCTTGATTTTTTGATTGACTGGTCTTTGTATTAGAATGAGTAATATTTCTATAGAAGATAGTGGTTTGGTAGTTCTTGCAAATTCCTCGCTGAATATGGTCAGGTAAATTTTTAAAACCATACTGTTGCAACAAAGGATCTTGTTAGACTCAGAAACTGGAATGGAGGTTGTGGGCATTACCCTTCCACACACCCTAACATCTGCCAGGGAGTTCATTACCACCAGAATGTAGTGCTGTGTTTGGAGGTTTGGAAGGAGCACACAGAGTTCATTTGGGAAGGTCTTAAAATATTTGTTTTCCTCTTTTAACAGAATGACCTTAAACCTCAACATGGTAGCAAGGTAAGAAAGCATTTGTTTATTTTGTGAGTTTTGAGTGTTGTTTCTATTTTCTCAAATAGAGGTTTGGGTTTTTTTTTTCCCAATTAACAAGAGAAGTGTTTACTTCTTCCCCAAGCAAAAATCCTATTTTTCAGGAATTTGGACTCAGTATCATCTCAGAAAAAAATAGCTGAGTTTTGTTCATGTTTCTATTTGCCTTTTTTTTTTTTTTTTTAAATTGAAACCCTAAAGTCATACCCTTTGAAAGAAATTAGTTTATGGGTTCAGGTGTAGAAAAGCAGGTGATAATAATTCTGGAAAAAGAATTGGAAAGTTGATTTTCTCTTAAAAGTGTTAGAAGGAATTGTAGAGAGTGACATAATTGACTAGAATAGGCCTTTCTGTCCCTGCTTCCCAAATTCAATTCTTCTGTAACACTAGGCTAAAACAGACCCACATCCTACTCATTTACTCAGTGATACAGCAAAAACGTAAGATTGTGTTTGAAACCTTAATGTGCACTATGTTATGTACCAGGAAGAAAATATGAAAGCCTTTTGCTTTCTACAGAACGCATGGTTCACCTGCCTTACTCCCTCACAGTTTTCCTTGACTACTGTCCTTTCCAGAACTACTCCACTGCCCTGTAACTTACAGAGACAGCACTTTATTGCTATCTAGAACATCATGGAGGTGGTGCTGCCTCCCCTTTTCCTCCTTCTAGTTCCTTTCCTTTCCTCATTGAACCAAAATTGCTAAGCAGCTTTGACACAGTTGAAATTGGCCTAGACCCAACAATTCTTTTAACTCAAGAGATTGCTTGACAGTGTCTGCCATCTGTTGCTCTGCAATCCAGGGTGTTTGTGTGTATTAATTCTTCTGTCTTGCTACACTCTGCTACTCTGAAAAACTGAATTGTTTATGAAGGGGGATGAAATGGTTTTTAAAATGTTTTGTGAGCACTATGGGTTTGTGCTCACATATACTCCTTTAACTCATATACAGAGAGAGATTGTGATTTTTGTCCTAAACCACCACAATAAATAAAGTCACAAAATTTTTTAGTTTCTTAATGGACATAAAATTATGCTACTCACTGTGCAATAGCATCGTGTCTAAATTAAAATATACTTTATTGCTAAAAAATTCTGTCATCTGTCATTCGGTGAGTTGTCATTTTTTTGGTGGTGGAGAATCTTGCCTCAATGTTGATGGCTGCTGACTGATCAGGGTGGTGGTTGCTGAAGGTTGGGGTGGCTGTGGCCATTTCTTAAAATGAAACAATGCAGTTTGTGCTATTGATTGGCTCTTCCTTTCATAAAAGATCTGTGTAGCATGTAATGCTTTTTTTCTCTTTGTTTTTTTTTTTTTTTTTATAAAGGCATGTTTTATTTATTTGTTTGTTTGTTTTTTGTTTATACATGCACTGGGTACAGTCAGAAGCGCGGGAGGGTGAGAGAATTCACCAGAGCCAGAGCGGGGAGCAGAACAGGCAGAAGGACCGAAGTACACTGCTGAGGGGAGCAGCGGGCGGCAGGAGAGGTCTGCACGCCATGTGGGACCCTCCTCCGATGGCCGGGGAGCAGCCGGGGATCGAACCGGCGCCACAGAGGCTGCGGGCAACTTCGCAACCCAGCGCTCAACCGCTGCGCCACTGGGGAGGCCCTCTCTTTGTTTTTAAGATTTTTTTTTTTTTTTTAATACAAGAACTGGATACAGTTAGAGGCGCGGGAGGGTGAGAGAATTCACCAGAAACAGAACGGGGAGTAGAACAGGCAGATGGACCAAGGACACTGCTGAGGGGAGCAGCAGGCAAGACAGGAGAGGTCTGCTCGCCATATGGGTTTCTCCCTGGCCGGCCGGGAATCGAACCTGCATGCAGAGGCTGCGGACAGCTTCACAGCGCAGCGCTCAATTCACTGTGCCACTGGGGAGGCCCCTTCTTTCTCATTTTTTTTAAATAAGGTATCTTTTATCTTTCCTAGGATCAGGCCTACTCTGTGAGGTCAAACAGAAACCAGGACTTTGCAAAGCAATTTGTTTATTTTTTTTAAAAGATTTATTTATGCATAGAGGCCAGAGGTGTGGGGGGTGAGAGTACTTACCAGAAACAGAGTAGGGAGCAGAGCAGACAGACTGACTGAAATACACTGCTGAGAGGAATAGCGGGTAAGTCAGGAGACGTGTGCTGCGCCATGTGGGTAGCTCCCTGGTCAGGGATCAAATTCATGCTGCATTGGCTGTGGGTAGCTTCATAGGTTGTGTCTTAATCCCTTGCACCACCAGGGAGACCCCCTTTTTTTTCCTTTTTCTTACACTATTGTTAAATTTTGGACAGTATTTGATTTCTCCCCTCAGGTATAGTCCCCATAGTTCTTCCACCACCATAGCACCTGTGACCCATCACCATAGTCCCTTGTGCTCCTCTCTCCCCTATGCCCCTCTTGTTTCCCCGCCCCTGATCTCAGCCACAGATCTATGGTCAACTTACAAGTTTTCTTTTTTCCTGATCCTTTCTTCAGTTTCTCTATATTCCACATATACGTGAAACCATCTGATACTTATCATTTTCCTTCTGACTTATTTCACTTATTCCAGCTCCATTCGTGTTGCTGAAAATGGCATGAGTTTATATAATGTTGTTTGATATCATTTTACCCACAGTAGAACTTCTTTCAAAATTGAAGTCAAATCTTCTCAATGATTTGACTTTGAGACTGCTTCTTTATCATTTAAGTGCAGTATTCTAAATCCTCTTTTGTCATTTCCGTGATGTTCACATAATACTATGTGAAGAAACCATTTTCTTTGTTTATCCATAAGAAACAGCTCCTCATCCATTTAAGTTTTAAAAGATTGAACTCATGATAATTCAATCTTCAAGTTCCACTTCTAATTTTAATTCTCTTACTACTACCACATCTGCAATTACTTCCATCATTGAAGTCTTTTTTTCTTTTTAAAGATTTATTTATTTATGCATACAAGAGCTGGGGTACAGGCCAGAGGTGGTGGGGAGGGTGAGAGGATTCACCAGACAGAGTGGGGAACAGAACAGGCAGATTGACCCAAGTATACTGCTGAGGGGAGCAGCGGCTGAGTCAGGAGAGGTCTGCTGCGCCATGTGGGTTGCTCCCTGGCTGGCCGGGAATCAAACTCGTGCTGCAGTGGCTGCGGATTGCTTCATAGGTTGCATCTTAACCCTTGCGCCACCAGGGAGGCCCCATCACAGAAGTCTTAAACCTTCATAGTTATCCAGGAGGGTTGGAATCCACTTTTTCCAAACTCCTGTTAATGTTGATATTTGATTCTCCTTTCCATGGACCACACATGTTCTTAATGGCATCTAGAATGGTGAGTCCTTTGCAGAGGGTTCTCAGTAGACTTTGCCCAGATCCATCAGAGGAATCACTATGATTTATGAAGTGTATTTCTTAAATAATAACGACTTGAAATTGCTCCTTTATCCTTGGGCTGCAAAGTGGATTTTGTGTTAATAGGCATGAAAATATTAATCTCTTCCATTTCCATCAGAGCTCTTGGATGCATTGTCAATAAGCAATAACAGTTTAAGAGTTTGTTTGGTGGTTCTAGCAGGGGAGCACAGCTACTAGAATACCCTTGGCCAAAGAGTAGAGCTACTTGGATACCCTTGGCTGAAGAATGGTCCGTCTGTATTCGGGGAACACTGTCCTCTTCAACCCGTGGCTTCGGAAGGGACACACATGGAGAGGTGAAGGAGGAAGGAAACATTCCCTTAGCCAGCCACATCAGCCATATCAACCCTGGTTATCAGTGAGGTGACACAAGTCCCAGCAAGATAGCCTCACATCCAACAGCAGCAATGTTTTAAAAGGACACTATTTCTGGGGCCTCCCTGGTGGCACAGCGGGTTGAGTGCCACGCTTTGAAGCTGTCTGCAGCCTCTGCAGTGCGGGTTCGATCCCAGCCAGCCGGTGAAAATACCACTTGTCGCGGCAGACCTCTCCTGTTTCGCCCACTGCTCCCCTCAGCAGTGTATTTTGGTCAGTCTGCCTGTTCTGCTCCCTACTCTGTCTCTGGTGAATCCTCTCACCCTCCCACATCTCTGGCCTGTACCCCAGCTCTTGTATAAAAATAAACAATTTAAAAAAAAGACTCTTAAAAAAAAAAAAAAGACTATTTCTTAGCAGTAGGTCTCAACTGTGTTGTGTCCTTAAAATATTTTGTAAATCAACTTGCAAACAGATATGCTGTCATTCAGGCTTTGTTGTTCCATTAATAGAGCATTGACATGTAGATTTAGCCTTTGGTCTTTCACAACAGTAAATGAGTACTGGCTTCAACTTAAAGTCACCTGGTCTTATTAGCCCCTATCAAGAGAGTCAGCCTGTCCTTGGAAACTTTGGAGCCAGACACTGAAGACTCTAACTGTGAAAGTCTGCGATGACGCCATCCAGTACAGGGCTGTTTCATCTCTATCAAAAATGTGTTGTTCACTATAGCCACCTTCATTTCATCAGTCATCTTAACTGGATATTCTTGGTAACTTTCTGCAGCTTCTACATCAGCTCTTGCTGCTTCCTTTTGCACTATTATCGTAGGGTACAGCTTGTTTTCTTAAACCTCGTGAACCAGCCTTAGCTAGCTTCAGACTTGTCTTTTGCTGCTTCCTCACTTTTCTCAGCTTTCATGGAATTGAAGAAGTTATGGCCTTCCTCTGCATTAGGCTTGACTTTAAGGGAAAGTTGTGATGGTTTAATAATCTTTCCAGACCACGAAAACATTCTCCGTATAAGCAGTTTTGCTGCCTTATCATTTGTGTGTTCACTAGTGTAACACTTTTAATTTCCTTCTAGAACTTTTCCTTTGCATTCACAACTTGGTTGAGTGTTTTGTGCAAGAGACCTAACTTTCAGCTACCTTGGCTTTTGATATGCTTTCCTCACTTAGCTTTATCATTTCTAGCTTTTTAAAGTTAGAAACATGTGACTTTTCCTTCCTCTTGATCCAGAGGCCACTGTAGGGTTGTTAATTGGCCT